TACTGTTTTCCACCACTCTTTCAAGTTTTTTATTATTATTATTATAGTCAGGAAGAAAATCCATTATAAAGAGAAGAACAAAATATGATCATAACACAAATCATATTACAAGTGATGTTTCTTGTGGTGTCTTTGGTGCCTTTTGAGTTTGGTTGCTTGTTTGTATATGTTACTTTACCCAACTAGGTAAACAACATCACCAGTGTGACTAACAGTAAGATTTGCTCCACGTCTGAAAGTAGACAGCTAAGCTCAGAGAGCAGCCAAGAACTCCATACTTCAACCCTGAATGACATATTTACTCTTCTGTTATTTCTTCTTGCAGGCTAATTACATCTCCACTGAGAGGTTTTCCTTTGCCTTTATGTTGTTAACATGCCAACTGAAGGGCAGAAAGGCAATTCCAAAGCAGAGGAGCCACCTCGTAGGTGGTACATGTCTTACTTTTATCCATCTTCTTCTTGAGAGACCTCTTGTGACTTGCCCTCAGACCTATCTTATGTCTAACTGGGATATGTTAAATGGGCATATATCTAAGGAGATATATACTTGAAATATTTACTCGATATATTTCTTTACTTGATATATATTGATATACTTGATATATTTCTCATGGAACCTTCATGGATCAGAATGGTACCAACAAAACAAAGTCAAAATTTTGGAGCCATAGAATGCTGTATCTTCAAACCAACTAACAATCCAACATTTTTTGATTTTCCATGCTTGAATATTTTCATCATAACTGGCACTTTGTTTAATGAGCCATATTTCTGTGAAATCTTGTGTTTTCCATTAATGTGACCCCATAAAAGACTGGTCCTGGCTTTACTTCTGCAATGCCACACTACAGAGTTTAAGGTTCTCTTCTCCCTTTCCTTGATGGATTAGCTCCATTGCTTGCCTGCAGCCAAAAGTTCCAGCTGCTGTTTGTTCACTGATCCTGTTGGTTGCCATTTTTCATTGAAGAGAAGTGCCAAACTCTTTGTCCACTTTCCTTGCCTCCCTATCAGTAGAGTACTGGCAAGCAGCTTCCTTGCACGGGGAAGGACAAATCTGTATGATTAATTCTGCCCCTTTAACTCTAAATAAAGGTTGCTATGTTACTCTCCAACTTTGAGGCCTGCCAGAGCACACACCATCCATAATGCCACAGCAGGCGGCTGGTGAATGGAGACTTTTTAAAATATTCCTCTCCTGCTGTGTTCTTGCTGTTAGCCAAGCCTTCTGGCTGTGTAGGAGGATGTTGGATATGATTTCATGAAACAGAGCTATAGTTGGTTAATTTCTAGGCTGAGCACTAGTTTCTTTTCCCATAAGCTGGCACCTTGGCATGTGGAGGGGAGAGAGAAATTCATTTGATTTGCATTTATCTGCACACTGTCCTAACTTGTCCTTCCAGAGCCAAAGTATGAAACAAAATGGAGTTGGTATGCAAAATCATGATCTTTTTAAACAGCAAAGCCTTACACAATATCACAAACACAAAATATACTATATACTAATAAGAACTTGCAAAAAATTGGTTTGCAAAAATCCATATATTAGTGTTCTGTACAAAAGTCCTTAGTTTTTGAAAAATGTAGCTGAAAGAATAGGTATGATTTTTATAAAAAGGTTGCAAAGCTAAGGATGGGGAAATAAGAAGAACTCAACTGCCCAACTGAAATGGAAGGTTCACCCTTATTTATTTGCTATCTGAATGAGGCGTTTTTGTTAAAAAAATCTACTTCATATTAAAATTATTTTGTGTTATAAATGTTTTGCTTTATAACAAAGATTTTGTTTGATAGTGCTGAAATTCCTTCTTAATACAAGACAGGGCTAAGTAATATTACTTGTCTCACAAAGTGTAGAAAACTCTTTTTATAGCAAAAATCTCTGAAGGTTTTTATATTTGGAGAAGTCGGCTGCCTTTGCAAATACCCATTTATAGAAGATCTCCCCTGCTTTGTTTGATAAGAAATAAAATATGTATTTTCTAAAAGGCCAACTGATAAGACTAAAATAAAAGTAAATTGTCCAGGAACTTGAGCTTCTCCATTTAAAATATTGTTTGGTTACACTGTTTTCTTGTTTTGAATGTATAAACAGTTATGCATAAATAGTAATTATGCATTCAAACTGGCAAAAAATGTGTTTGACTCTGCACCAAATAGAGGAGTCGACTTCTGTTCACTTGAGATTGATTGAAACGTATCATATGGAGGGGGATATCTAAATTTTAGGAAGCACCTATATTAAAATAGTTATAGGAGGTATAAAAAAAAATCAAACCATTCACTGTTGCCAGACATTCTACATGATATAGAACTGGAAAAGAGAATGTCAATATTGGACTATTCAGTCTCAATAATTTAGATTTCAGATTACTTAATTCCTCCCTCTGTCCAGCAGATTCAACTTGCTAAAGAATGTACTCTCATATTGACCCTCAGAATTTACAACCAATTACTTTTGTGACTTTTAAAACAGAAACACATATTTTTATTTCAAAACCCAAGAGAGAGAATGGATAACTTAGCTGTCCACTATGCCATCTTCTGCTACACTTGTATGTAAAAACATCCATATTATTAGGATTTTATTTTTCTCTGAAAATGTGTTTGCAGATTAACTGATAGGCAGAATTGCAGACGTAATTGGCAAAACTGAATCAAAGTAACGTAACTGCAAAAGTTTACAGATATAAAATATACATATTTGGAAAAGACAATGGGGCAAGAAAAAAATGCAACAGTTTAGGTCTCTAAACCAAATGATTGTGTAAACATTCATAAAATGCTAACTAATGTATTTGTGGGTTTTATTTTACAGCCACCATTAATGGTATGTAATTATATGCTATTATAATTACATATTATTAGAATTATAACCTGAAAAACTGTGGCACTTTGGGGCAAATTAGAATTCGGCATTCCTAGCATTAATGCTCAATAGCATGCTTTTATGTAATTTTTTAAAAAAGGAAAACTTTTTCAGCAATACAACAACCATTATATAAAAGATTTTAGTGGGTCCATAAAGAAATGCATGTATATATATTTGTGTATATATAATGTATAACTAGTTATGCCATAACTAGTTAGGCTTATGTATACCCTCAAGGAAGGCTGAGTGAGCTGTAGTCCATGAAAAATTGTACTATAATAAATGAATTAGATCTAAAGTGCTACAATAGATCAACAAGTTTGTTTCTCCATATGCCGCTTCTTGTATGACTTTATTCCAGTTTTGACTCAGCGTATCTCTCCTGTTTCTTGCTACAGTTTATTGCACAAGTCAAATCAATAACACCCCCACCTTTTTCTCCAAAAGTAATGTTCCTATTGCATCAGGAAGCAGCCTCTTGGCTAGAGCTGAGTAAAGATACTCTAAAGTTCATGCAAGCAGTATCCTTTATATTGTAATCAAAGAATATTTAAATGTGTAATTTGATCAGGCTGTCAAACTGCTGAGTTGTACCTTCTGTTAAAATGAAATGTCTCTTCCAAGACTAGGAAGGAAGGAATGGTGCAGATAATCTGACGGACCTTTTTCCATCAGACAAAAAGATTTGACTTGGCTCAGTCATACAGAAGAACTTAACGTTCACGACCTCTTAAATCAAAACCCATTAAGGAATGTGCAGTATCCAGGAGTGAAATCCTGGATACAGTGATCACCTCATGACAACATGATCCTGAAGTGTAAGAGGTCACTTCTAGACAAAAGAGCTGCTAATTGTTTGTTAAAAATCCAAATCATTTGTAAAAAGACTAGCGTCCAAAATGGTTAAGCAAACTCTGGCATTTGGGAAGCTGTGCTGAGTTGGTAATGAGGTGGGAAAAAAGGAAAAGAATAAGCAATGTGTTTAAAATTTAATCTGGTTATACCCAAAGTTCAATTCTCTTCAAAGAATGCTGATCCAGCTTTTGTAAAATAAAGCTGCTGCTAGAAAAAAATGAGAGAAGTAGATGTTTTGGTTTGATTACTTTTTATCATCTGATTGACAATTTTGTTCCAGTAATTATTATTGGGTTTTTATTTCATCTTTATATATACAGTAAAGTAAGCAGTGGCTTATTTTCTTCTGTCCTTCAGATGGGCTGGACAATAATTCCCCTCATACTCCTGCCCCATGCAGAGTATCATTCTGTCACGACTATGTAAATTTATTGTAATTTATAACTAATAAGGCTGTTACTGCTAAGTCATTATAACTGAGCTTTTAAAAAAATAGTTCTTTAATTCATTTTCACGACCTTCTAACATTAATGAAAGCATTTAAGCAAAGACACTAAATTGTGAGAAGATTTTTGATGAAAAGATTTTGTGTAGTTTTGATGGTCTAGTGTAGGATAGAAAGTTGGGGATGGATCAATAATTATTTTCTAGTACTAATTCTTTAATTGCTCTTCTCTTGTTGAATAAATACAAAAATATAAATATACACTGAAGGGAATTTTCTAGTACTATAAAGTACTACCTAGTAACCTTTAAACCAAAATATCACATATAATAAGAAAGTTTAACTTGCAGTCACGATTTAACTACTGTTAGGACATCATTCATATTATATACATATTATGTATTTAACACATATTTTCTGCTTTCCTTTCTTCAACCTTTTTAAAGATTTTGATTTATTACTAATTTACTATTATAAAGCTTTTGAATCGCTTCAATTGTGATATATTACTTCCGAGTTCCACAACATTTTTGGCTTTGCAGATCAGTGGGGGGGGGGGGAGAGAGAATGGTTCTGCACGCACAGCACCATTTGCGTGAGTGGTGGGCGCATGTGCTTACCCACTGCTTGTGTGAGTGGGGATGTGCTCACTTACTCGCCACTTCCACGGTTCCAAAAGGCTCAAGGCCTGGTAGTGGGCTGTTGCCCAGGGGTTGGTGACCCCTGTTGTAATTTAACAAATGGATAATGGATGATCACTTCCCCACCTGCTGTCATTCATTTATCCTATGGGAACTAGTAATTATCTTTCTTCTTCTTCTCTATGCAGCATATCAACAGCAGTCGGCCCTCACCCCACTTTGTGTATGATCCATCGATTTTTGCCTTCCAATCCCTGAGCACCTTGAAGCCTTTGAGCCCAATAGCTCCAGTTGAAGAACCATCATGTGCCTACTGAACGATGTACTCAAAAGTCTCAGGAATCATCATATCAACCAGCTGCCCAAGGGACATGGAGAGCACATATCTGCAATAGGTTCCAGGATCCTTGGTATCAGGAGATTGGTGTCTTGACTCTTGTCTGTTTTACATGCCATTATAATTTCTGAAGATTGTCAGAAAGGAAATGTATGTGCATCAACCAAGCTAGGCACATAAATTGCGATGCAACTATCAAGATACTATTGATTCACAGAAGGCTGGTTTCTTATAAATGGAGTGAGCATATTACCCTTATAACTGATCTTCAGTGAGTGGTAGCATTTAGCCAACCTTGACTTATTTCAGAACCGAAACTGGGTAAGGCCTGGTTAATATGTAGAACCACCTGAGCAGTTCAAAGTTGTTAGCTGGATTGGTAAACAGGAAAGAAAGGGGAAGGACATCACAAACCAATTCCATAACATTGCCAAGAAAATAGCATGGATGCAGTCCTAGGAGTTGAGCTCAGCTTGAGAGCATCTTCACAATATATTATAAATGAGCAACTGCGCATGTGCTAAAACCCCAGCAGTAAGCAGCTTTCTTGTTCTTTATCTAAGAGAATTATTCCTTGTATGTAGGAATGTTCAGTACACTAGGATTTATCCAGGAATTGGAAGGATCTCTGCTTTTAGTATGAGTCTGAAAGACTAGAAACATACGATCTTCATCTCCCAGGGTAGGTAAACTTATTTGGTTTTGTGCCATCAAGTTATAAGGTAAAGCAAGAAGCTTACTGAGCTGTGCAGCAACTGAATTGCTTTGAAATTAGTAGAGTATGAAGAGACAACTGTATATTTGTTCAGCACAAATAGAATTAGAGCTCTACAGAGTCTTAGGATATACAGTAAATGGATAGATATTTGCAGGTAGAAGAATAAATGAGAAGTTATAATTTCCTTTGACTTGTCTGGGTATCCTTTATAAAGCCGTGTGAATGTTGCATGTTCTTTTAGTGAAGTTGGAATGAATACTGCAATGATTGGTTTGCACATCCAACAACATGTCTTATAGCATCCACTTTAAACAACTTATGAAATTGTAACAAAAGCAGAAATAGGACTATAAGTTGCGTTTGATGTATAACCCACTGGTTTAGGTGGATGTTATGTTAGACATAAATATGTGGAAAGAAATACTTCACAGGTATTTGCATCATGATCTGTCTTTTTAATTTTGTTTTTTGCTGGTAGGAGTAATGGGCAAAGCAGAAAAAAGGCATGTTTTAATAAGAGCAACTTTACAGAAGCAGCCATATATTTCAAGCTCAGCTCCTCTCTACACATTGGTGATAGTTTCTGCTTTGCATTGACATCTGAGATACCAATTATTCAGGTAATCAGTTAGCCCAATTCTACAGGTTTTTGTGCTAGCCCAATGAAGCTTATAGTTTGAGATTTAGGAAAATAAGTTTTAACAATGTGCTATATTGTCTTCTCTATACAGTATATGTCAAAGGCATTTCAGTCTCAACTTGCATACTAATCATATGAAGAACAGTGTAGAAAGAGCTCCTGTGTTATATATTTTTTAATTAAAGAATAATGGAAACTATAACTTGACCACTGTTTTGAAAACTTTTGTGCTGTCTTCTACAATTAAAAATGTAGACTGTAGGAGTTGAAAAAGACAGCTCAAATGGGGGTAAAATAGCCAACAGCTGTGAGGTTCTTTTTATCATTGGACTCTTAAGGCCAGAAGCTTTCTAGTCAGAATGAATTAACTCAGCTGCTTTTAATCCTAGCTGTAAATATGATGGTTTATAAAACCTGGTGGCAAAAGCATAAGAATAAAGGAATAGGTGAGTTATTTCTTTTCTATACCAGTCTATATAAGAAGAAATCAGGGATGGATGGGGACAATCCTTCTTAAACCACTAAGTAAATAAAAGGTAAGATGATATTCTTAATTGGTTTATTGAGAAGAAGGTCAAAATTGACATGCAACAAAATAGTTTTTCTTTTTTAAAGCAATTGTTCTTCTAGTCGAAAGAGGGGAGGTTCCTTTTTTATCTTCTAATCCTAAAGATTATTTTTTTTTATAGGTCAGTGCACATGTTGAAGATCTATAATCCGAAAGGATTTGGCCTTCCTATAGTAATGATAAGGGGAGCTTTCTGTTTTGGCAGATTAGACTTAACCTACAAACCACCAGCACCTGTCATAGGCAGGATAATTTGGAATGTGTTTTCATGCATATAAAGCTGCCCTCGGCTTTGTTCCATAGATACTGCAGAATGTTTTTTGGGGAGGGGGGGATTGGAGGTTTGCTGACTGATCTAGAAGATATTGTTCTGATACTCTAAGGCAGGGGTTGGCAACTTTGGCTCTTTTATGACTCGTGGACTTCAACTCCCAGAATTCCTGAGCCAGCATTCCTGAGTTGAAGTCCACGAGTCATAAAAGAGCCAAAGTTGCCGACCCCTGCTCTAAGGGGTGTCAAACTCGCAACATCATGTGACGTGTTGCGATGTATTGCAACTTTTTTGCCTCTGCCGGCCATGGGGTGGGCATGGTTTTGCTATGATGCATCTGGCCCGTGGGCCGGCAGTTTGACACCCCTGCTCTAAGATGAAGGTCTGGAAAGGGAGATGACTGCTGATGAAGTGCTTCTCTTTAATACTTTTGTAACATTTCTGTCTTTGGTTTTTAATGAGGAAAAATAAAGTTATATTTTAACTGCTGTTATTGTCCGTCCTGTTTGCTCTCCCTTTACTCTTACCTTAATTCTAAGGCCCTAAGGCAGTGGTTCTCAACCTTTTTAATGCCGCGACCCCCAACTGGTCGTAAGTCGAGGACTACTCAACCGGTCGTAAGTCGAGGACTACTCAACTGTGCAGCACTGTTTGCAGAATGGGACTTTTGGTGGGCTCAGCAGGGCAGAGACAGCCTGGACAATTCCTATTGGCTTTTGAAAGCCAGTAGAATTAGACTCTATTCAAGAGTCACATTCAATAGAATAAAAGGGAGTAGCACAGCTAAGGAAAAGGGGGGGAAAATGGCGGACTGCATTGTTTGGCGACCCCCATGACATGGTCGTTCGACCCCAAATGGGATCCCGACCCACAGGTTGAGAACCACTGCCCTAAGGAAATTCAAAGCATTTTTAATGTTACTGTTTCATAGCAGACTATACCTTTGCATTCCACATTAAAATATTTTCATCCCTCAAGAAGAAAACACAAAGTTACTTGAATCTCTTCTGCAAACTTTGTAGGCATGAATTTTGCAACATTAGCTCAAATAGAAAAACAGATTCTTGCCTGTCCCACAGTTTAGTTAACATTTTTTCGTAGCCAACTTTATATGAGCAACAATCTTTGTCCTACCACCACTGAAAAATGAATGAGAATTACAGTCTTACATAGCTACATTTGTAACCTTTTCACAGAATCAAGATGAGTTCATAGTAAGTGAATGAATTTTGCAGTGTCCGTGTAACAGGATATTTATAGGACCTGATGGAGGCTACTTTGTGGTGAAGAATGCTGTAGGGAATATTTCTGCTAAAAAAGCTATATTGACAGGGACGCAAGGACAAGATGCTCTCAAAACAAGGTGGTTTATTTACTGTTTTATATACTACCAACTTTGGACATTCTAGACGGTTTACAGTGAATGGTGTATAGTAATAGGTGTATAAAACAGTCCCATATATTCATACAACTTCATTGAGCAGAAGTGGACTAGACATTTCCTGCAAATCCAGGGTCCATTTTTTTTAATTTTATCAATGGAGAGTTGATTTCTTGGTTGCAACAGAATTGATCAACTGGCTTGTCACCTGAGCCTGACATCATCGGTTGAGAGAAAGTGACTGGCCTAAAGTCACCCAGCCAGCTTTCATGCTTGAGGTAGGACCAGAGCCTGCATTCCTGGTTTCTAGCCTGGTACCTTAACCACTACACCAAACTGACTAATTCAAATCCCATAAAACCAAACCAGGTGGAAAAAAGGCAGCCTAGCACATCCATCTATTGACACAGCATCTGCCAGAAGAAGATGACTTTATCCCCTTCTTGAAAGTAAGTTAGTGCTTAGTAAATGAGAGGCTCCCACCACCATCAACATAACTTCTTGGGAAGAATGCAATACCAGTGTATCCAATCAGCAATGTTTTTGTAAATAATGTCACAGGGACTGAGTCCCATAGGGCTTTGTAGCTGGAAATTAGCAGACTGAGTTGAGCCTATCAAATAATTGATAGTGCAGCAACCAGAACACTGGTGCTATATTGCTTAATTTTATGCATTCTGGTTCAGTTACATTTTCTTGCATCATCATTACTACTTTTTGCTCTGCTGTCATCTAGTGGAACTCAAAATGGTATACATAAGATTCCCAGGAAATCTCCCATGGAATAACCAAATCTCAATTTGCTTAGTTTCAAATGAGGCTATAGCTTGACATTCCATGTTCCATTCATGCTGAGGGAAGCTGTCTTAGATTACTGTTGAGAGATTGCTCTAGTAGTACTAACTTGACACAGCTGGCTAAAAGTTGAGTTTGTGGTTGAACAGCCAAGAGCAATTTTTATAACTTGACTGTAAATCCTCATCCTGTTGTTTCTTGACTAGAATCATGCAGGTGTTTCCCCTCAAAGATGAAAGCAGATTATTTAGACTATAAAAATCCACAGAGATACTCAAGCAGTTATGTTTTTCAAGTTGCAGTCTGGGGGGTATTGGGAACATTCTAGAAGTTAAAAAATCCATGTGAAGTTGCTCAGCTTTGGTGAACTGGACTTCAGTTACCCAAAATGTCCTAGATAAGACATTGCTCCTTTTTTTTAATATCTGCCTCAACAATGTCATTTGGTTAAATTGATAAGTAATGTATACTTTAGTGCAGGGGCAGGAAATCTGGAGATCTTGAGTGCTTAGACTTAAACTCTTAAGGTAATATGCTTTGTGAATGTTTGCATATGAGACATTCTTTTCTCATGTATGAAACTAGTATCACAGCAGGCATGAAATGGGAAATAGGCATCTAGGAATGGGAAAT